CTGAAGACGTCTCAGGTCTGCTGCTCGAATAGGCCAAGCCTCACAGCCATACAACAAAACAGCCCGTAATGTAGCTTGATACACACGTCCATTCAGATTCAGGGATGATTCATTCTGAAGCCATAGGTGTCTCAAGTTGGCAAACGCGGCCTGAGCCGAGTGGTAGAGCAGGGGAAAATGTTGAAGCTGGACGATTATTGTTCGTTTAGATCACAACGGATGGGATGTTTGTCATTGAATTCGGCAAGCAGAACGGTTCATTTGATTGTCAAAAACATCATATTCATTACAAAAATCGGGCTAGACAGCAAGCACTTACTTTGTGACTTATTGCTTAGGAACAAGGCGGTGTCACCCAAAGTATGTATCGTGGTCCCAGCAACAATGAAATTTCCTGCATTCTTGAAACTTTTGCTTCAGCAGTCCCCATTAGATCAGTTGTTCAAGGTCCATTAATATAGGTGTATCTGATATGACCTGCAAACAGTTCGGAACAGACAGCGAATCCATACAGGAATCTTTAATTTAGAATGTCCACAAACATGCTTTCAATAAAACACTGCCTTGCGCTTAAATCAGCATTTTTGTTCGTGAATTTAAAACCACCTAGGATATATCTACAAAAAAAGCGTTCAGCTGTAGCACCCTTCCGGTGCCTAGCTGCCATGCCACCCGAAGGAAGCACGAGGGCTGGGATACTGCCAGGTTGCCCAAGCATAGACAGGGAAGTCGAGTGGCGGAGGTCGGGTTCGAACCACGAAACTTCCGGTCAGTAAATTCGCGCTCTAACCACTTGGTCCATCTCGCCCCCTATTCCTACAAAACCATCCACGGAACCGCAAACCACTTTCGTTTTCTTTGTTACGCTATTAAAAACACAAGACCATTTTGAATGTCTTCCTGGAAGGTCCCATTTAGGAAAGAGAATTCCCATGAGTAATGTTTTTTTCAATTACCTATGACGATCACTTAAAAAATACTTGGAACCGATTGGGTAGTCATCGTTTTTTCAAAAAAATTGGTGACAATCGGTGGATTTATTGCTGGGGAACGTTTCGCTTTTGACACAAAAGCTTCGTCAGGCCAAGTGACTAGGTTCCGAGGTTGATCGAGATTTAAGGCGGAAGGAGAACCAATCAGATAAGTCAAGCTAAATCTCTGTTGGGTGTCGGCCGAGGGATTTTAGTGTGTTAGAGTGGTTGAACAAGAGTTGGGTCGGTGGGGAAACCTACATGTGTTTGGGTCCAGCCTAGGGTCTAGTTCTTCTGGTTCGGTTCATTTGATGGTTCCTCTTGAACTTCGTTTGAACCTTCTGTTAGTCTGTGTGGGTGAGCTAGTGCTAAGAAAGTTGTGTAGGAGGGATGCTGTGACCTTTGGTCGGTTGGGGTTTCCACCCCTACCCCCCGGTTTTTTCTAATGATCCTAAGTGGATTGACAACCACACCGTCACGTGTCAACTCGGCTTATCTAAAACAGCTTTCTATACGCTCGCTAGCTCCACACCATCGATTCTATTCACGCTGTGATGCTTAGTAATTTCCACCGCCTCGGCTATCAGCCGCTGTGGTGTGAATCGCAGTCCCCGTCTTAAGACTTCCACATTCTCCAGATCTATTCCATGTCCTGTGTCTAAGGTATGTACCGCCATCGCTGAGTCTTTGACCAGCGTTTGGTATTCTTCTGCATTCCTTGTTGGTTTGGTAATCCTTCTTTTATGCTCACCGATTCTGTTGTGCAATTCCCTGACAGTTTTTCCTAGCGCAATAGTTGGAGTTAATTTTGTACACACAGTCCCTAGTCCTTTCAACCGGCAGGGGATCTTTCAATTGCACCAAAACTGAGCGTATCGTTTTTCCCTTCTGGGCAGCTACTCGAATGCTGGCTAAGTTCAGCAATATTCGAATAATCTCCGATGTTCCTACTTTATATGGAATGACTGCTGTACCAATCCATTCCATACTGGGTCTAGGTACCGGAACCAATATCTTTCTTAGTTGACGCCTAATCAGACTCACTGGTATCCTCTTTCTTGAAGTCTGTTGGCAATCTCGATTTGGGCTGCCGTTCTGTCGATCTCTTCTGTGCACACTGCTCTAACTCGACGAAGCATCGATGAGACAATACTGGCGTACAGGGACTTTGGGTGTGTTGATTTAGCTGATAGGTTCTCCTTCCGCCTGAAATCTTGACCAACCTCGGAACCTAGTCACTTGGCCTGACGACACAAGTCAAAAGCGAAACGTTGCCCAGCAATAAATCTACCGATTGTCACCAAACTTTTTTTGAAAAACGATACCTATGACGATACTTCACCGATGCTGACTACTCTTTTAGTAACTTATGACGTATTAATTATCAGGTCAGATGTTACCGAAAACAGATACTTAATTCTTCCGTATGGTGACGTTTACTTCGGGTATAATGTCATTTTCACCTGTGTTGCGTTTATTTATTTCGGTTGGGGTTAGGTGATGAAACTTTGCTTGTTTCTCATGCTTCTGGGTGTTTTTTCATCCTGCATCCAAGGCGCTAGTCAGTTTATTCAACACATAACCGTCCAATGTGCACTAAAGTTCAAGCAAATAAGAAACAAAACAATTGGTGAAAACTGTGTAGAACGCGCTTCGGCTTGCTCGTAACGCATACAAAATACCTATGTGTTTCGGATGAAATGAACGCCTTTGCTTAGCTTTAGAAAATTAAAACAGTGTTTGTGTACTCTTTTTGTACTCTTTTCATCAATGGTCCTTCCATATTTCGAATTGGTGTGTCTCTGAATCTCAAGGGATATGCACATCAAGCTATAGTGCGGGCTGTTTTCCTGTATGGCTGTGAGAATTGGCCTGTTTGAGTAGCGAAAATGAAAAGTCTTCAAGTGTTTGAAAATCGTTGTCTCCGAACCATAGCTCGTGTGGGTGGATGTCGGCGTATCTGCAACGAGACAATTAGAAAGCGAGGTTTTGGTTATGCAACGGGTACGACCATTGAAGAAAGTGTCCAGCACCAGAAGCTGCGTTGGTTGGGACATGTACTGCATATGCCAAACCATCGTTTGTCGAAGAGAGTGCTGTTTTCCATACCCAACCCAGAATGGCGTAAACAGATAGGCAGTCAACCCTTGACTTGGAAGAGGAGTATGAAGGAGATCACGAAACGCTTGGGTGCTGTCGGTGCTACTCGCCTTCCAGGATGGGGACCGCTTGATCCTCACTGTGCCTGTTTGGAGACATTAAAAGTTATGACTGCCAACCGAGGTCAGTGGCGTTCTTGTTGTCAGTTTCTGTCCAGATTGCCTGACTGAATGTCTGGAGGTATAGGCACCTCGGAATGTCTATGTTAAGCTGGCACTAAGTCCCTCCCACATCCACCTTTATCATTTTTTCACAATAAGGCTTTCAAATAAGTCATGGTTGTACGGCAGTGAAGCATCCGTGTTTAACACTGATGTCATGCTGTCGGTGATAATGATGATGATGATGATTATCACTCGACTGTGCACAGTGTCTCCATTCTGGAATCCAGATTACAGGACAAGCGTTACCGTGCAAATGACCTTATTTTATGCAAAAGCAAACTTATTCAAGTGTTTATTCCCCCTTTGGTTGCTGGTGAATCTAAGAATTAAAATTCCCGTTTTCATGGTTGGTTCGACCAACGTGCTAGAGAAATCCTTTAATCAAACTAGAAAGCAACCTAAGAGGATGTTCGTTCCCCAAATAAGAGACTCCAGATGCTACTGACTTTATATAGTCATACAAACTTGAGATACTTTGATAAGTCGTGATTTATTCTGAAGCACTTCGCAATGAAAACGCTTCATGATATCTCTGCGGTTACCTGATGCTAGATATTCGGCCTGATCCTGATTGTTGTCGGGGTGATAGTCGCATGGGGAACTCATCTCATCGTGAAAATCTTTGACGGAACTGCCCAAATATATATGCAGGCTATTGGACAGGAAAAAGCGCACATCGTTCAACTAGCGATCCGGCAGTTTGGACCCATCGCACGTGAGTTGAAACACCCGTTTGGTTGGTTTTTTTCAATCACAGATTTTGATTTGCTTGCTTATATCTTCCGACGCTTTGTTTTCAACAAATTTTAGAGCACAATGTTAACAAAGAACGGTGTTTTCAGTTCTGGCTAGCTATCTTGTAGTGGTGTTCAGTTGAGTTTTTCTTACTTAATGATAAACTAGTCCAGCTATTTTCCGACTCTAAGAAATATATGCGCTCGGCGTCGTGCGTGACAACCTGAACATTATAAAATTTACGGTTTTCCTCATTCCTCTTGCTCTGCTGGATGATATGAGCCAGTCTGCCTACGGGTCACGGTCAAAAGCATCCCCTCCAAGAGAGTTATTTCGAAATTGGGCCAACTTACGCGGTGCTAATATCTATTGAAAGGATTTTAAACCTTGTGAGTCTCATACCAATGACACAGCTCGTCGTTATATAAACCATATGGAAATAGCGGAGAGAGATCACACCGTTTGATGATTGAAGCAAGCAAAATTTGGTTGCACTTGGCCACATGCCTTTCACTGAACAAATTTATGCCCCATAATCCCAGTTCATTGAGGGAAATTCGTCCATGATTTCGTTCACATGTCCCCTTCAGGAGGTTAACGCTTTGTAAATCCTGGGTTCTGTCTTGTAGTGATCCACTTTGAGACACCCTCGACTCACTCACGCCGAAAAATCGCTTTTGTCTGACGTTTCATCATCAAGCATAGTCTAAAAAGCAACCTTTCTTATCATATCACTTCAGTTGATAAAATTTCGGGTTTTTTAAGCTACATTGATTGAACAACGAGGAAGCTTTCAACACGCATGCCTGAACACCTAACGTTCTCGTGGCGAATGCATACGTGACACAGTGCAAATAGGTCTGCTGTATCCAATGTTCTCGACACTGAACACACGGTCGACGTTTTAACTAAAGTGTGACTTACAAGTCAAGATGCCCGACTTAAACCCTTACAACCGCAGCTTAAACTTTGTGCATGAGAACGCATTACGAAAACACTGAGTTTCACGTGGCCAAAAAATTTGGTCTTGCGAGACACTCACCTGGAACACAACTTAATCTCCCGTATGCGATATTTCACTCGTTGTTTTCAAGTGGCTTGCCGAACGCACACTAGTAATATCGGCATTAACATTTCATTGCCGACTATAGTTTTTATGCAGCTTTTCGATCAATTCTGTCCGTTTTATGTACTAGAACGTGACATCACCTTCATTCGATCACGGATATATTTCAGACAACTGCAATGATGCCATCACCTAATTTATCTTTATTAGTCCGAGTAACATTTAACTCTCTTGACCTTCGTCAGCTGATCATTTTCTTTTTGATGTATTTGACTTCAGGAAAATTATGATTTCTAATCATCGCAGTTTAGCCGACAAATCAACTTTGAATGCTTGTTTCTGCTTCTGTGCTGTCCGTCAGGACAAGTCTCAGCTAATTTATTATCATAAAGATGTTTGTGGAGATTTCGTCCTGTAAGTTAGGTCAACCTTCGCTGGGAAGCCGAGAAGCAGTGTACAGCTTATCTATCCTTATGGGGAAACCTCAGAAAGGCACATCTAACAAAACTTCGGGGATTCCTGAACTCACACTTAGACAGGATATAGCGTTGCATGTTAACCACACTGCCCATCAGTCGCTGAACATTTAAGTGTTCAAACTACTGGCCGGGAGGTCACGGGTTCGAGACACTCTGAAATTTCGTGAGATGTGCACCGCTGATGATTCCCAATAAGGAGAAAACAGCTGTACACTGTTTCTCGGCTCTTCAAACACTTTGACTTCACTTACAGGAGGAAACCTCCACAAATAAGACAAACTCTCCACACTACCAACAATCAAGATATTTGTTCACAACGGTATCCACTGTATCCAGAACGGGGACAATACACAGGGGTTTTGATTCTTTATGTCATTCAATAAGAACCGCAAACGGGAACATTTATTCCGGTCCTACCTGTGAGACCACCAGAGGCTTTTCAGGAGAATCGAAATACGCCATAAGGATCCTTTAGTCTTTAAACTTCCAGGACGTAGTTTTGCGGTTGCTGATGTTTGAAAACCCCACACGTGCTTGATAGTCATTAGTGTACGAATAAAAACCTCAAGCTGCATTCCAGAACTAAACTGTGCCTAACGGGCAGATTTTTACCTATTGGTATCAATTTGACATAATTTGACGTTGCTTTTGCAACGTGCTACTTACCTATTGATAGTAGTTTGAAAATCTTTAGCTTGAAACACATTCAAGGGCTCTACGCAGGAGAAAATACGAAAACAATCAGATTGTCATTGGCGGTTCAAATTTCTCTGGAATACAGTGAATGAGACCTTAATTTTTATTTACGCACCGGGATCCGCCGGTTTCCTAGCAGCGAAGCAGTTAGCTGAATATCTGTGTGGCACCACCCACATTCCACAACATCAAGTTGGCCGGCCCAACCAGACAGATAATTCCACGAACTCACACAGGGGGAAAACTGCTCAGTTACTCAATATCATCATTTCACCGCCTGAACTTGCTTTCGAAATACGGATGTTACGCAATCCTTTGGTTAGTCATATACCAACCACATTGTAACGCAAAATACATTATATCGTTGGTGATTTACCCACGGAGGCAGCACAATTCCGAACTTTTTGACTTTCTATCTACTCATCAAATCCTTTAGGACCAATCGGCTTGTTGGTGTTCTTCCTGGGTCTGATAGTTCTTGGAATCGCCATATTCGGCTGCGTCGGAGCTACGTGCAACAACAAATTATGTCTAAAGATCGTGAGTACTACTTCATTTCCTTGTTTCTGTTGGTGTTTTTCTAATCGCCCACACTTATCTGCTTTTGAGCAGTTCCGTTAGGAACATCTGAATGTTATTTATAGGTTTCACTTCAAACAGAGATGCTTGACTTCCAGCACTGACGAAGAGTTGCGCGTGTTTGATGGATAAATTGGATCAGTAGTGCTGATGCACACTAGACAGTTTTTGGAAAAAGTTCACTCCACCTCGGTAGATCGGCTCTTTACACACCACATATTATGCTGGTCAGCATATGCACTTGTATTCAAGGTGACTATCTACTTAATGATGCTCCCTTTGCTCAGTCGTTTATCGAATAGAGACGATTTGAGGGTGATCAGTTCATGGCGTTGGAACGCAGCACGAATTCTCTTAATGGTCACCTGAATAGCGTTGCTGAATGCACCTAAAAAAGGATTGTATGGAGCTAGCACCAAGTCCACTCCCCGTCCACCCGTATTCTTTTCTTCATAATTAGTTTTTCAGCTGAATCATGGTTGTACGGTAACAAAGCTTTCATAGTGAATACGTCCGTTTTTATCCGAATGGGGACCCCCTTTAAGAACAACCCAATGGTTGGAAACGGTGGTGTATAAGGTCTTCACACAACAACTTCCACGGCAGCGTCAAACCTTTCGCATTAAATGGAGTGAAATAAAATAATATCGATTTCTTTCGGTAAAAGAAGTTGATTATATCAGTCGTAGTAGTGCTCAGTTCCAAAAAAAGGAACTCACAGTGAATGTACTAACCACAGAGGTTTTAGTTTGACGCCTGTTGTGACAAGGCGTCTGGCGTCACCGAGTCTTCGTCCTCTTGCTGTGGCACATGAAGCCTTGACTCCTGATAATCAAACAGTATTGCTACCGGGTAGAGGCTGCGTTGGCCACGTCGTCACACTCCGTCAGGTGTTGGAGCAGGGTGGCCACATGTACAGACGACCCACAATCTTGGTATTCATTGATTTCGTGGGTGCGTTTGATTCTGTCGGTCGATCAGTGCTGCTCTGGGGATGCTCCAGAAGTTCGTAAACATAATCCGATTCCTATATTCACATACTTCTGGGCGGTTAAGAGTGTATGGTGAGATCTTCAAAAGTTTCCCTACAAACAGTGGGGTCAGAAAATGAGGCCTAATCTTTTCATTCTTGTTCACCTTCGTCATTGATGAGGCGAACTCTGGACGGTCTTCAAACCCGCAGTGTTCGAACTGTTGCTGGTGAGAGCCTTGTCAATCTGGAGCACGCATATGACTTCGCCCTAATCTTTGAAGACCAAAGTGAAGTGAATAAACAAACCACCAACCTACCATCCTTTGGCATGCGCTTGGCACTTTCAAGGTGAAAAGTCATGCTTCAGAATGTGCAGTCTCAGAAATTATCCCTTAAAATTCAAGGAGAACCACTGGAGATTGTGAGAAACTTTACATAACTTGGTAGTTGTGTTAGCTCTGGCGGAAGTGTGTGTGATGAAGTTAATACAAGAATCTCAAAACATAGAATTACGTCTGCTAATTTGAGTCACTTGTGGCGTCAAAAAGGCAACTCACTAGATCTTAAGGGTCGTGTGCACCAGGCTACAGTCCTGGTTGTGTTGTTGTATGGGTGCGAGACATGGCCTCTGCTGACAGATGATGTGAGGCGTCTTCAGGCTTTTCTTACCACCGATTCCTCAGAAGCGTGAGTGGTTGTGGATGACATCATCGTGTTGGGAACGAAGTAATTAGAAAACCGGCATTCGGTTTTGCTGCAGGTACTTCAGTCCGAAAAAAATCCGGCACCACCGACTACGATGACTCGGTCATGTGCTACGCAGGCCGAAACGCCGTTTGCCGAGATGAGTGTTGTTCTCCGTGCCTCTTTTAGGATGGCGTAAACCGCGATGTGGAGAACGTGTGGGTTGGCAGGAAGGCATGAAAAAGATCAAACAGAGTTTGGGTGTTGCACGCCTTCCAGGATGGGGTCCATGTGACCCCGTCCGTGCTTGGCTGTCAGTATCCAGCTTCTCTGACTCAGCTGTTGGAAGTATAGGTATCTCAACTATTTAAGTTAACACTGAGTCAGCACTAGGCCAGCATCAGTGTCAACACTGATGTTACTGTTTTTGATTCTGATGATGATCAATATTTAGGCTAGTTATCTTCTGAAATATCGTTTTCGCCAACATTCTGTTGTGATCGAATCTCAATTATCCCGTAAACCGACTTTCATCACCATAATAAAGTAACTTATGCTTTCCATTTGCACCCTTTCTCTGGATGGAAGTATTGTCCAGTTTTCTTTTTTCCCCACTTTTTACCCTCCTCTAGTACGTCATCATACTATCAGTAATCGTGTTGTTCCACATCGTGCTACTCATCGTCCACTTTTCGTATCCGACTCTGGTAAGCAAAAAAATTATTGGCCAATACCTTTGGGAAATTTGTACGATGCACCCGGAAATGGAACAGAGTGAACCGTTTTTGGGTGTTGTTTTGTGCCACTTCACAAAAAGTGTGTATTACTATGCCAAGGTGAAACTCTTTACTGCACAATAGTTTTCGTGTGGTCTGATATGATTCAGGAAGATCCCAATTCAATCTCATCGAGGTACATATGGAATATAATGGGATATCAAATACTATGATATGCTATAATATTGTGGAAAAGTGTAGCGAAACGTTGCATGTGTGATGGAAGATCCTGCGGTTTACTAAAGTGAAAAAATAAGATGGTACAGAATGGGATAATTTGGAATCATATAAAACTCTAGTGTGTACAGTAAATCACGGTAGGTGCTGGCCTAGACTGTACAGTCGAACGGCCCAGCTCAACGAACAAGCCAACGGCCACATCACATCACACAACTTTGCATACTGTAGGACGAGACTGTATAAGGGATTATTATCTATCAAACAAAAATATACCCTGTCTAGGCTTGGGCAACCTGACAGTATCCCAGCCCTCGTGCAACCTCCGAGTGGCATGGCAGTTAGACACCGAAAGGGTGTGGCAGCTGAACGATTATTAAACAAAAATATAATACCTCAGGGCACGGTACAGCACCGCAGTCTATGGCATGGTGCAATACGCCAGGTATAGAATGGTGTATAAGACAGTTCTGTCTGCTAAAATAGCCCTTGCTTGTGGCATAGTAAAGTGTAGTATGGTGTTTTTAAATATAGTGCCGTCTAGCTTAGCACGGCTGAACCTGTGTCTCGGAATCCCATTGTAACAATTGCGTCCACTCCCTTCCATGAGATCTGTAAGCTGCCAAATGTAATCGAACTAGATGTTCTTCTCGTTAGATAAAAATAACCGTGTTTATTTATTGCAATAAGCACTGTCCTTCTGATATTTAGGCCGCCACTTAGTCAAATCTGGTGAACAATAAAGAGTTGCAGTAAGTGGAACTCCTACTACCTGAACGTGGACCATAGAGGGTGGAAACATTCAGATATAACTCACGTCATCATGTGACTCGCACTGATGATCGAGAGAACATCAATGACCGTCTGTTCGTGTAATGGTGTTGGTTATGCAAATGTTCAAATGAGCAGATTGAGCGGCTTGAGAATGTGTCTGATAAGCTGGTGGTACCCAAATAATTTTTCAGGTGTAACTGCCATAATTTTTGGATAAATAGATATCTGCGATCTAAACGTGTAAGTTATGATTATGTAGCAAAACACCAAGCAAATTTGTCCACGGACTGAAGGTTGCTCTTCCAAATAGATATTTGTTCAGCCTATCGGTCCTTTATATTAGTTGATGCCTTACAAAACGTAAAAGGACTTGCACATGTTGGTTCTGACAAGCCTTTCCATTTGAATCACTTTTGAACACATCCTTACTAGAAAACCTATCGGAATTGTTTTTTTCTGTTATTTATATGCCTAGAATCCTTACGAAAGGCCAAAAGACAGAATATTGCATTATCATTAGCAGGAATCCTTATATTTGTGGAAAAGTCAACAATCGGTTGGCTCGTGAGATACATAAGTTGTCAACCGTTGCGTGAACCATGCATAGTATTCCAATGAAACGGGAAGTGTGGAGGGAAAAAAAACCCCGACCTCCCGTTTACCAGAGGGACATTTTATTGATTTTCCTACCGAGGTCACGTGCAGTGTTTCATACGTATGCAGCGGAAAATCAGACCTCATTCGTCATGCCTCCGCTGGTTGGATCAACAGATTATGCCAGCCAGTGCCATTAGGTTTAATTTTCATAATGGTCGTGATGCAGAAATCTTTCAGTAACCCAAACAAGTTTGTCAACTATTGCATCGCTAGTTGGTGTATCTTGCTGCTTGATGGTGCAACTCTGTATCGGTCCCTTGGCTTCCTGCCCCACCCACTATGGTATATCAAAAGGCACGGTAGCTCTACGCAGCACTTTATGGAGACAAAGTAAAATTATTACAACGGGGTAGTCACAGAGTGTTCCACAAGGTCGTGCTAGAAGCACCGTGAGGGGCGAGAAGCGCCAGTCAAGGATGCTCGGCCCGGATTGGCGGACATTCGGACCAATCAGGGAATACCTTCGTTTGGTACGTATCCTGCGCGGGACACATCCGTCCAAATAATGTAATGTTCGGTTATTATGGACCCCTCACCTTCGGACAGATTGCCACTTACAGCAAACACCAAAACTACTAAAGTCATTATATAGCGTGAGTGAAGTTGCCTGAGAGAAGTCAGTCCGTTTTAATCACAGAAAGCTGAAATTTTATCGATTGTTTGTGAACCGCCACGAACTTGTTTGCCATGCATCGACATAACTGAAAGAGCAAATTTTTGCAAGATTTTGAATGCTACAATAAAAACGCATTTTGGCTTCACACGCTTGTCAGTTCCATCTGCCAGCTAACTTGTTTGCTTCCAAAGAGCGGTGAACGTATTACTCCTTTCGGAAACTTACGAACTAATTTATATTAACCCGCAGACGGGTAACATTTTTGATAGATCATTAGAAATCGTAACAGTGACTCAGTAGAACCATATTGTGTGGATAAGGACAGTTCACCAAAACATAAGTATTTTCACAAAGCCAGATGTTAGACAAGAATAAAATGAAGTCGAAATTTGTCATATATTTATGTCGTTGTTTTTAAAAAAACAGAACCGTTATCATTAGGACAGACAAAATTTAATTAACCAGTGAAGTTTTCTGGTGACCAATCTGGTTAGATACCATCTTATCTCACCAGGGTACCTGAGGCAGTGCTCATTATTCTGGTAGATAAACCGAATTCCGCTTCTGAGTTTTGGACTTATCGCTTTTGTTACTCTTACATAAAATTAACTGCACTTCCCAAAAAGGATGCTGGTTGCTACAAACTAATTTTTGCGGATAAACCATATCGTAGTTGCCAATTTCCACTGTTTTATTTTTTATCCGAACGTCCATACTTGCAGAAGGCTGCTTCCGATGGAATCTCACGGTTAAGTTCAATTGTGACTAACAGAAGGCACTCTTTTTTGAGGGTTTTCCACTTAGATATGTCACTATTTTCAAGGGCTCCAATCTGATACACAAACTCAATTTATCACACACATTTATGTTTCATTTTTCAGGTTATGTCGCCAGTTAGAAGCGTATTAGAAAGATACGTGAAAGAATATAAATCGATTGAGAGTGGTGATGCTACGAGTGTATTCCTGTCAATGCTGATGAGCTCAGTGAGTCACGTGTTTAGCTGTCATTACTATATGGTGAGTGAGTGAACCAGTCGTTCGCGACAACGAGTTAGTTATGACCACTAATATGGACAGAATTCAACCGGCTTTGTTCGTCTGCTGAGCACTCCACTCCGCTATCCCACACATTTTCTTCAGTAACTGATTTGATTTATCATATTTCCAGTTTTCTGGCGGAAAACCTGGGGCCAGGGACTGCAGCACCATTCTTGTCGGCCATCAGACAGTGCTTTCATTTCTGAAGGATTTAGCGTTTGTGAGATTCGTCCAGTTGAGCTGCAGCCAAGGATAATTGATATTTTATGGTGTCCTTACTGGACAAATGGCGACTATGATGGAAGTCATAGGCAATACCTTCCTGTAAAGCTTTTGATTATTCGAGCAGAAGTTACCAGGTATTTGTTGGAGAACTAATTTCACTTACACTATTGTTGAGCTTTGTTAACGGCGGTCAAGTGATGAAGCTTCTCTCGGGCACATCTGAATAGATGAGCCCTAAGAGGAGATCATGTACAGCGACCCTGAAAAGTCAATCGCTGTTGATGACTTTTGAAACCTGCTCTCGCTTCGTATGTGTTTTGGCAATTGATAAATACTTGAATGTTCTGGGATCAGTTACAAACGTTGATCGCTTGCTAACCGTAGCCGGGAGTATGCAGTAAAAATCTGCGGTTGAGTTTCAGAAATAAGAGTTATGACGTTATTTTGCAATAATGATGGGTGCGTCAGTACGGGAAATACTAACGTATTTCCAACCAAACGAATAGAACTTCATCAAAGGTATACTGCGCAAGGGCCATGACACCGTTTGATTATATATATACCTTATATATATATATATATACCTTATATATACATATATACATACATACATATATATATCTTATATATATCTTATAAGTATAATAGTATTAACATTTGCGCTTAAGCCTTAGTAGAAAAGTTGGCATGTCATCCACAATAAAACAGATAAGTCTGGATAACTAACACCCTGTTTCACAAGTAATATTCTAACTGGAATCTAAGTCTATAGTTGACTATGCTTAATCAAGTAGGAAGTTTGAGAACATAGTATGCAAGCAGACTTGACCAATGATGTCACGTTAAATGCCAAAAACTACGTACAGGAAAATGTTCTTCATCCTTATTTTCGTTCCCTGGTCCACTTGAATTTCCGGACCAACGAATCATTGAAAAGCAAATAAACGTGCACAAGTTCACGTTCTAACTGAGTAACTGTGTAAGTAGTATGAACAACCAGTACCTGTCGTTTTTCCTCTCAAACCTCAGTTGCACTGCTGTGGCGTGAACGGAAAGGAAGATTTCAAGAAGGCAACACAAATGTCCAAAACGGATGAGTTTATGGGAGTCAAAGTGGAACGTGAGTGGTGCTTTCCTAAGTTTAAATCGGAATGCATATAAGTTTCCCCCTATGTGTCATTTGCAAATGACAACCATGTTGTCTAGGTGCTCATTAAGATCAATTCATTATCAATATGTTATTGCCTACGTACGTTAAACTCTGGTTGGATGGATACACGAGGATTATGTCTGAATGATGAGCCCAGACAAGTATGAAATTGGATAGCGGCCTTACATAAAGCTCCTTGTTCCCTTACTTCCTGGTTCTACATGTTTCAAATTCACTTTTCTCCTAATTGGTCCTTCAAACTGATTAACGAGATTTATTAGTAGTTTAGTTTTCAGAAGCTGTTAATATGTGCGCTAGCTGAATTTTTCGGTTCCTGATTTTACCGGATGCCGACTAATGCGATCAAGCTAGTGAACCATATTGGGGCTACTTGAGGTTTGATCATTGACCAGGGGTTGTAAAAAAATGTGTCTCCAGCACCTGTTTTTGCGGACCTTTGTGTTAATTTTTGAGATTGATATTATCCGCTTAGGTTGTTCACGTTGGTCCAAGGTAGCAGACCCAAGTCGGCTGGTTTACTCAGTCCCTCCCAATCTATGCTCGGTGACTTCTCTCACGAACTTATTGTTGCCACGTTTGTGAGCAAATGTGTAATAAAGGAAGAAAATTAAAGCTCAACATCACAGATGTTTGAATCTGAGGCCCGACAGAAGATAGGATATCTGGTCACAGATCTTAATGATGACTGAAAGGTTCCGTCATTGGACAAAGGAGAGCAAACTGACGAGCCAGATAAACGAGTTCATTCCCATTTGGCCCGTTTCTAAAGCACGCCGTAACAACGAGAAAACGGTGGACAACTCATGACTTTCGGATGCTCTCTACCGGGGCATTATGGACTGCCAAAATCATAGAAACATGGGGTTCTCCTTCGATAGAAACGGGTTATATCCAGATTTGTGCAACATTTATTGCCAACGTGATTGGGTAACATCCTGAATTCTGTTGTTCAGGCAAATGTCCCCAGAACCAGGAAATTCATCATTGACGTCCTAGGATACTCCCTTTGGTTACTCAACCCGAGCGCTTTCCTGGTTAATCGAGTGATAGACGGCTCACTGTTTAACTTTTCCGGAAATCTGCTCGAATCATCACGTGTTATTGGCTTCAGCTTAGACACATAAAAAGGCACTTGGGTATACCTTCCCGCCTCATCTAAAGAATGTAAAGTTTTGTGTATGGCAGGGCTACTACCGTTGGAAATTCGCTAATTGCTGAAGTATCTGGATCAAAAGAACATGTTATATTACAATCACTCTTGAGGCAAACACAAACCATACGCAAACTAGAGAAATATCAACCTTTCTAGAAGATTGCACACTGGAAGTAAGGGCGGTAATTTTTGAGAGCGTTTGTTCATTCGTCCCGATGGTTAGCCGCTAAAGCGAGGACTCAAAACCATTTTCTTTTTCAACAAATAGCTGTTAACCATTAAATCATCGGTATAGAATCAGACA